GGTTGTATCGCGTGTCAAGTGAACTTTCATGAATAGGCCATACGAGGAACTGAGTGAAGTCATATATTGGGGGGGTCAAGTGGTGTCAAGACTAGTGTTCATGTGGGTTTAATACACGCTTCTTGAATACATGCGCCCTCATTCGGTATCTAGGAGGAGTATACAAGACGAATCACATTATAATCGACAAGTTGAATGTTATTTTCATCTCGGATAGAGCTTAGGTGTTGATGCAAACACAATGCACAATCCTCCACGATGAATAGATATACTAGTAAGCAGTCATGTTGAGGATGTTGTTGTCTTGCGCCGGTGTTCGCAACCGACGACTACCGTGTTCACAACGGTGACCTCGATGACAAATCCAAAAGTAACTTCATTATCCAGTCAGTCAGTCAGTTCCCTCCTATCACTTCACTACTCTCTACAAAGTCATGCATCGTACAGTGTACCATCAGCTCGGAACATACGCCGCTCCGATCCAGGTCATATTTCACACTCTTCAAATGTCGTTCGTGTCCAACATTCGGCTACCCACACTCAGGCACGGGGAGTCGAACAGAGGCTCGGCCGATAACAGATGTATGATCCGCGAAACTCATAACCACCAGCAGGGCCATGAAATTGTATTATAGTATGCTATTGCTGCTTGAGAGTACTCATCCTTTAGTGTTTTCATATACTTAATTCTCCTCATAAGCTTGCTGGAGTCTACGAGTATCAACGTGCATGCTCAAAATGCGTGGGAAATGACTTGCTTGGTCGATCCCCGATCAATATACCTTATTGAGGAATATTTGTGTGTATAGAGGAAGGTAGGCCTTGTCTTGGTTGTGAAGTACACTTCAATGCAAGAATTAGTCGCGTGAACAGTTTCAAGTTGGCTGCAAATGAAAAGTGGTAAAAAATGTGGTCGTGGTGAGGAACGAACTCACGCAGGGTATACTTTCGGTACAGTTACGTACCTAGACCTCTCGGCTATAATGCAAGTACGTTTGAATAGAAAGGTCTACAGTATACGGGTACTAGTATGTGTATGGAGCTCGACGACGACGACACCAACCAGTATTTTTATTGTATTTTTATATAATATCATTGGCTTTAAGGAGATCAAAAATACACGACCAAGCCTGACAGCCAATAAGAACACTACGTTGGATACCACATGGTTTGAATTGTACGGATATGTATAATGAAACCAAGATAAAAAAGTTCAAGGAGGGAGGGCAATTAGGAGCAAAATCTCGAGTTTGGCCACTTGGTCGACAAAGACTTAACAGTAAAGAGTGGTACTTCTGCTGTAACTGTGTTACTCCTGAGTACAAAGTTGAATAAATACCTGGTGTTTTAGCTAATTCACTGGGGTTTTATAAATGCCAAATAACTCTGAGCAATAATAATCACATGTGATGCTGAAGTGACCAAAGTGACCAAAACACCTTGGCTGTTTTCCATCGCGTAGTACATGCTACCTGCATGTACTACGCGATTGAACAAGAAGATGGCGTGGTTTTTTACGATGTGCCACCATACGTACATTGTTGTATGGTAGAACTTCGACGCAATGTGTCATTTGTAACATCAAAAGTTGTTCATGATGGATGACCAGTGAATTGTGCAATTTGGTCCCGAGAATAGATATAACTTCGATTTGCACTTTTCAAATGTTCAAAAATGAGGGAGGTGCATAAATGACCTCCCTATAATTACATTCTGTAACGAAACGTGATCCTAAATCACTGTACGGATTATCTAAAACACTGGGGTCGATGTAACAAACACCCAGGTTTATGGTGTGAATAGCCAAAACGAGTGAAAAGCCCGGCAACTCACAGTCAACAAATGCATTTTCCACAGCTTCAATATTTTCCCCGATTGAATGAAGACACTTTTGATACTGCAGATTTTGAATAACGTTAAAAATCCTTAAGTTCAGTATGCTGATGTTCGATACCCCCGCGTTTCGCAACAAAGCGGTGGTAACTTGACAATGGGGCCTTGCTTTGTCGTGTTGAATACACACGCCACACTGCAGGTCACCGGCTGGGAAACGCTCTAAAATAGCAGGCACGACATTGCCAACAACTCTGGCTTCATATACATCCCCATTGACGCTTTGGGGATGTTTATGAAGCCATAGTTGTTCCCCATTGACGCTTTGGGGAATTTTGAGGATCCCCTGGGACGGTTCTTGCTTGTTCGCTGAGCAGCCACGACCTCGACATAAGGCCATACGCCAATCTTGCCATCGAAAATCTTCCTTTTGGAGTAGTCGTAGCGAGGACGGCAGATAGCGGCCAAAAACATTACTTTCGTGATTAAGTTCTTTGACTTGGCCGCTTGCAACGCCATTTCTTCATCTTCGTACACGTAAAACTTTCTTTTGATTTTCGTCAAGAAGAACCATTTTTCCATAATATGCACAATGTCTTGCATACTGGTGAAAACATGGCCTCCTTTTGACGAAGGTCGAAGAAAGCTTTTCGCAAACCCCGTTCGCGTGATCTTGTTGTCGTCTGTGAGAATGGGCTTGTCGTAGCTTGATCGACCCTTGAGTGTTCCGACTTCCTTGATGTGTCGGAAAAGAGTTGTCTTTGGTATCTTGCTTTGTGATGCCAACGTGCGGATAGTTTGTCGGTTGAAATGGGGTACGGCCTTCACCGCATCTTGGATCGCATCATTTGTTCGGAGCCAGAATTCCCTAACACAGTTTTCCCTTATCATCTTATACTCATAAAAATAGATAGTGCTTGTCAAAAAATAAAATAATAGAAATCATACCCTTGATTTTCGACGCAACGACAGCGACCCCACCGTTGCACCTCTCCGAGAGGCGTCCTTGCTTCCACACGCGCGTGACGGTCTACGGCTGAAAATGGAAGCGCTTGGCTACTCCTTGAGTGTTCCGTATGGAAGCTTGCCGCCAACAGAGCATTCCAGGAGCTTGAGGTGAGGTGAGGTGTATTAAGGAGCTTATACAGGCAAAGCGTCTATAAGTGTGAGGATCAACCGGGGTTGAAGGCGAGGTCGCCGTCGAGAAAATCGTATAAGGTCGCGAGATCGCGTGGGGGGAGTGGCGTGCTGTGTTCGGTAAGGAGAGACGAGAAATCCCGTGCGAGGTCTGGCGCGCGTTTGGATAAGTAGTCCGCAGCTTGATTACCGTCACGGAGGCGGTGAGCCCATGTGCAGCGAAAACGTGCGGCCTATACACGTGCTGAGCGGTAGAGTTCGCGCAGGCCGGGGTGCCTAAGGTGGTAGACTCCTTGCATCTGGCGTAGAACGAGCTGACTGTCGCCAAAAATGGTGAGGTGCGTGAAACCCCTGTCCGCAGCAAGCTGGAGGCCGTGAATCAACCCATAGTATTCGGCGATGTTGTTCGTGGTCGGTTCCGGGAAGTAGTGCGCCGCATACTCACAAAGTAGCGGCTCAGCAGGGGCCATTGCGACCGCTCCGGATCCGCCACAACCTTCGTCCATGCGGGCAGCTCCATCGAAAAACACCGCACCTTCCTTACGCATTTGGGTCTGTCCGCGTGGAGGAGAGGGGGGGGTGGACTAAGAAGAGACTGCACCGTAAGATGAGGTCATGATACAGGTCCGCGCGGAGGCGGTGCCGGCGTTGGGCGTGGTAGGTGGTTAAGGCTTGGAAATGCGCCTGGAGAAGGTAAGGGAAGGAAACCGGCGGCGGGATACGGCTGGTGTTGTCGTGTAGCGCTGCGCAGCGGTCGTTCCACAGGGTACGGAGTGTGAGTGCTCGGATGAGCTGCCACGCTTGATGGGTCAGGTTGTCTTGAGCGGTGCAGTGGGACGTCCAGTTTGGTGAATGGAGTAGCCATGGTGCAGCTGGGGGCTGAGTCCCGTGGAGGAGGGAGGTCTGTAGGTCGTCTGTGTTGGGGGTGGTGGTGGGTCGAACCAGATGCGGAGGGTGATGGTCCAGAGGTAGCGTGCCCGACCACAGAGCCAGAAAGTGTGTGCGGAACTATCGGCCGCGCCGCAGAATGGGCAGTATTCCAGGAGCTTGGCGTACATCGTGCAGCGTTGGTCGTGCTTCAAGTTTTCCTGGGCGCTGCTGGATCGTTGGCAGGTTGGACGGACCACTGTAGCGATGTGACAGGTGGGTTAACGGCTTGCCACCACCTTGCCCGCACCCAGCTCCTAAGTACCTGGCTCATAACGCACCCTAGCTCATGCTTGCCTGGGAACGTGTCTCAAGGGCAAGTATAGCTTAGAATCGCTAGCCTAGTGAAGTTCCCAATGTCTCAACCGCACCCGCATCCACTGTATACAAAAATGCATATTAGTGTAGAAGTAGTGAAGTAGATTAAGAAGATTTCATAGTGATGAGGATTAAGGAGATCTTTGTAGATCTTCAGTTAATTCATTGTGCATTTTGCCCTCAACTACACACGCTTCCTCCCGCAGTGCTACACACGTTGTCCCATCTAGGCCATGCCACACCGCCGATAGGAACATGAGATTGGTCATGAATCATTTGCTCTCAATCGAAAGATGTGGGGGCCGTTCTCCTGAGAGTAGGTACAACCAGGATCGGATTGGTGTTGCATGGAACCACTTCTCATCCACATGTAGGTAGTCTTAGATGTAATGGAACGCGTAAGTGTCGCTGGGCTGAGCAAGGTCGGTGGCGCACTTGATGCGAGCAGTCTTGTTCACATCTGTTACCTTGTTATTGACATGAGAGTTGTATTTC